CAAAAAGACGTGTACAACAGCAATAGCTTTATTTATACTAGTCTCAAAGTGGAGTCAACTCCAATGACCATGAACAGAAAAATGAAGAAGCAGATTGCGGTAGATTCACACAATGGAATATCACTCAACAATAAAAATGAACTACTGTGCAACACATCAACATGAATGACAAGCAAAAGAAGGCAGACACAAAAGCATATATATGTTTTATCCCATTTATACAAAATCCAGTAGCAGGCAGTATTAACATATGATGGAAAAAATACAGCAATGGTTGCCCCTGAGAGGCTGCCTGGCTGCATGTGGTCAGCATGTGGATTGATGGGCAAGGCATACACTGTTCTGTTCATTTCTCAAAGAACACATCAGTTTTTGGCTCTGTGTCTCCCTTCAAATCTCCATTGTTTCTTTTTTAAATATATATATTTTATTGCATTTTAGGTTTGGGGTACATTTGAAGAACATGCAGGATTGTTGCATAGGTACATATATATGTGGTTTTAGTCTTCCTCCCCATCACCTATATCTGGATGGTTTCCAGGTTCATCCATGTCCCTACAAAGGACACAAACTCATCATTTTTTATGGCTGCATAGTATTCCATGGCATATATGTGCCACATTTTCCCTGTCCAGTCTATCATTGATGGGCATTTGGGTTGGTTTGAAGTCTTTGCTATTGTACACAGTGCTGCAATAAGCATTCATGTTCCTGTGTCCTTATAACAGATCAATTTATAGGCCTTTGGATATATACGCAGTAATGAGATTGCTGGGTCAAATGGAATTTCTATTTCAGGGTCCTTGAGGAGTCTCCACACTGTCTTATACAATGGTTGAACTAATTTACACTTCCACCAACAGTGTAAAAGTGTTCCTATTTCTCCACATCCTCTTCAGCATCTGTTGTCTCCAGATTTTTTAATGATCACCATTCTAAGTGGCATGAGATGGTATCTCAATGTAATTTTGATTTGCATTTCTCTAATGACCAGTGATGATCAGCATTGTTTCATATGTTTGTTGATCTCATATATGTCTTCTTTTGAAGTGTCTGTTCATATCCTTCCCCCACTTTTGAATGGGTTTGTTTGGTTTTTTTCTTGAAAAATCTGTTTAAGTTTTTTGTAGATTCTGGATATTAGCCCTTTGTCAGATGGGTGGATTGCAAAAATTTTTTCCCATTCTATTGGTTGCTGATTCACTCTAATGATTGTTTCTTTTGCTGTGCAGAAGCTCTGGAGTTTAATTAGATCCCATTTGTCTATTTTGGCTTTTGTTGCCAATGCTGTTGGTGTTTTAGTCATGAAGTCCTTGCCTATGCCTATGTCCTGACTGGTTTTGCCTAGGTTTTCTTCTAGGGTTTTTATGGTATTAGGTCTTATGTTTAAGTCTTTAATCCATCTGGAGTTAATTTTAGTGTAAGGTGTCAGGAAGGGGTTCAGTTTCTGCTTTCTGCACATGGCTAGCCAGTTTTCCCAACATGATTTATTAAACAGGGAATCCTTTCCCCATTGCTTGTTTGTGTCAGGTTTGTCAAAAATCAGATAGTTGTGCACATGTGGCATTGCCTCCAAGGCCTCTATTCTGTTCCATTGGTCTGTATCTCTGTTTTGGTACCAGTACCATGCTGTTTTGATTACTATAGCCTTGTAGTATAGTTTGAAGTCAGGTGGCATGATGCCTCCAGCTTTGTTCTTTTTGCTAGAATTGACTTGGCTATGCAGGCTCTCTTTTGGTTCCATATGGAGTTTAAGGTGGTTTTTTCCAGTTCTGTGAAGAAGGTCATTGGTAGCTTGATGGGGTTAGCGTTGAATCTATAAATTCTGGGCAGTATGGCCCAAACTCTGGGCAGTATGGCCATTTTCATGATATTGCTTCTTCCTAACCATGGGCATGGAATGTTTCTCCATCTGTTCGTGTCCTCTCTTATTTCCTTGAGCAGTGGTTTGTAGTTCTCTTTGAAGGGGTCCTTTACATTTTTTGTCAGTTGTATTCCTAGGTATTTTATTCTTTTTGTAGCAATTGTGAATGGCAGTTAGTTTTTGATCTGGCTCTCTTTAAGTCTGTTATTGGTGTATAGGAATGCTTGTGATTTTTGTACATTGCTTTTATATCCTGAGACTTTGCTGAATTTGCTTATCAGTTTCAGGAGACTTTGGACTGAGACAGTGGGGTCTTCTAAATATATAATCATGTCATCTGCAAATAGAGACAATTTGACTTCCTCCTTTCCTAATTGAATACCCTTTGTTTCTTTTTCTTGCCTAATTGCTCTGGCTAGAACTTCCAGTACTATATTGAATAGGAGTGGTGAGAGAGGGCATCCCTGTCTAGTGCCAGATTTCAAAGGGAATGCTTCCAGTGTTTGCCCATTCAGTATGATATTGACTGTGGGTTTGTCATAAATAGCTTTTATTATTTTGAGATACGTTCAATCAATAACTAGTTTACTGAGTTTTTAGCATAAAGGGCTGTTGAATTTTGTCGAAGGCCTTCTCTGCATCTATTGAGATAATCATGTGGTTTATAGTATGTTGAACCAGCTTTGCATCCCTGGGATGAAGCCTACTTGATCATGATGGATGAGCTTTTTGATGTGCTGTTGCCATCGGTTTGCCAATATTTTATTGAAAATTTTTGCATCTATGTTCATCATAGATATTGGCCTGAAGTTTTCTTTTCTTGTTGAGTCTCTGCCGAGTTTTTGTATGAGGATGATGTTAGTCTCATAGAATGATTTGGGGAGGATTCCTTCTTTTTGGATTGTTTGGAATAGTTTCAGAAGGATTGGTACCAGCTCCTCTTTGCGTCTGGTAAAATTTGGCTGCGAACCCATCTGGACCTGGGTTTTTTTTGGTTGGTAGGCTCTTAATTGCTGCCTCAACTTTAGCCCTTGTTATTGGTCTATTCAGGGTTTCAACTTCTTCCTGGTTTAGGCTTGGGAGGATGCAAGTGTCCAGGAATTTATCCATTTCTTCCAGGTTTATTGGTTTATGTGCATCGAGTTGTTTGTAGTAATCTCTGATGGTGGTTTGTATTTCTGTGGAATCTGTGGTAATACCACCTTTATCGTTTTTTATTGCATCTATTTGATTATTCTCTTTTTTATTAATCTGGCTAGTGGTCTATTTTGTTGTTCTTTTCAAAAAACCAGCTCCTGGATTTATTGATTTTTTGAAGGGTTTTTTGAGTCTCCATCTCCTTCACTTCTGCTCTGATCTTAGTTATTTCTTGTCTTCTACTAAGTTTTGAGTTTTTTTTTTTAATCTTGCTCCTCTAGCTCTTTCTATTTTGATGACAGGGTGTCAATTTTAGATCTTTCCTTGCTTCTCACGTGGGCATTTATTGCTATAAATTTTCCTCTAGACACTGCTTTAAATGTGTCCTAGAGATTCTGGTATGTTGTGTCTTCATTCTCATTGGTTTCGAAGAATATCTTTATTTCTGCCTTCATTTCATTGTTTATCCAGTCAACATTCAAGAGCCAGTTGTTCAGTTTCCATGAAGTTGTGCAGTTCTGAATTAGTTTCGGAATTCTGAGTTCTAACTTGATTGCACTGTGGTCTGATAAACCATTTCTTTCTTTTTTTTTTTGAGACGGAGTTTCGCTCTTGTTACCCAGGCTGGAATGCAATGGCACGATCTCGGCTCACCGCAACCTCCGCCTCCTGGGTTCAGGCAATTCTCCTGCCTCAGCCTCCTGAGTAGCTGGGATTACAGGCACACCCCACCATGTCCAGCTAATTTTTTGTATTTTTAGTAGAGACGGGGTTTCACCACGTTGACCAGGATGGTCTCGGTCTCAATCTCTTGACCTCGTGATCCACCCGCCTCGGCCTCCCAAAGTGCTGGGATTACAGGCTTGAGCCATCTTGCCCAGCCCGAGAAACCGTTTCTTAAAAATTCTGTAGGGCACCATGATTGCTTTCCTAACCTCTGGGAGCATCCATCCTTTACCTACTATTGCAGCTAGCACTTTTCTGACCACTTCTCACCTTCAAGATTTTATTTGAAATCTCTTATCCTTTCATTGTCTCCTGCCATCCTCTTTGTCATTGTGAATCTAATTCCTTTGTTTTCATTTTAATGATCTTTAATTTTTCTTCCAGAAATTCGAAACAATAATGTACCATTATTGTTTTCTGCCTCACATTAGATACTGGAAAGTGCTCATAATTCTCTTCTAATTGGGAAAGAAAGGCTCATAAGTTTTCATAACATGAAGGAATACTGAGATGTTGATTAAAACATCATCGGAGCCATTAAGTGATCAACTAAGAACCAGAATTAGAGACTCAACTTTAAAACTACATTCCCAGAAAACAGCAACAATTCCTGAAATTCAGATGGCTAAAATAATTCACCATATTTAACAATAATTCGAATGGATTTTTATTAACAGAAGGTAGAATCAGACATTCTAGGAGATATCATTGATATTCTCATGAAATTCTCAATAATGCGGTATAATTATTAATAAACTGCATTGTATTATTTATGAATTAATTTTATGATGTGGGATGATATTTCTTTCTTAACAACCACAGATTAGAGAGAGACATCTTATTTTCATCTTTCTCAGATTTGTTTTCTCTTAGTTGCTAATTAAGATGCATTTTCAAGGTTAGAGTTTACTTTTATTTCATTGTTTTTCATTTCTCTTTGGATGACCTGTTCATGCCACCTAGATTCTGTATGAGTTTAATTTTTATTCTAAAAAAATATTCCGTATACAGTTAGGTGGAGGTGTCTTTACAATGGCTTTGTTCAGTTTAGACCGAATATATTTAGTCCCTGTATTAGTCTTTCACAACCTCCATTTCTTTTATTACATCTTTTTTGTTGCTTCAATTCCATTTATTATGGCCTCGACTGAGGACCACCTATTTTATATATGTTGGTTCTTTATAGCACGTCCTTTATATGTAAAGTCTTACAGTCTTTACAAACATCTCAGAATCTTGATGACCATTTTCCCATGGTGTCCTTTTTTCCTAGGATGTTCGTGGAAGACCAGGACATAGATGAGGGGATTTTCTGTGACACTGTATTCAAGCACTTCAAAAGATATAAGGTGGAGATTTCAAATGCAATAAAAAAGACATTTCCATTCCTTGAGGGCCTCCATGACCGTGAACTCATCACAGATAAAATGTTTGAAGTAAGTAAGGTTTATTATGCCACAAACTGGTAAATCAGCCCCGAAGTAAGTTATGCTTGGATATCCTAGACCCAAACTTCAGGCAACAACTTGCTGACAGGTCTTCTATGAGTGAGGAACTTTTTCAAGTATTTCTGTAAGTGCTCCTGTAAAGTAGAAAAGGAGAGGAGAAGCAGAGGTCATTGATGGTCCTGCTTTTAGCTGAGGGAATGCTGTTTTGTGGTGCCCTCTGAAGTTGGGGTAAATGGACCTGGAGAAACTGGAGCAGAAACAGATGTTCTCCATTAATGTACAGTGTTTTGTAGAATTCATACACTGTAACATGAAATAAATAAAATAATTTGAACTAAGTGATGTGAACTAAATAATTTGAACTAAAACTTAAAATAATTTGAACTAAGTGATTTACTTGAAATAGTAATTGACACAGCATTTTCTTTCAATTAACATCAATTTAAAATAATTAACATCAATTTAAAATACCTAGATCAGAGAACATTAAAACCCACAGGAAATTGGTGGGGACAAATTTGTGGGGTCTAGAGAGGACAAGTTTGTGAGTAGTTTGTTGTTATTCTTTCTCCAACACATTTTTTTCCTTTTTCTTTCCTTTTTTGTACATTTCTGTAGTCTTGGAATATGGGTAAATTCCACCCATAGGCCCTGTTGGAGATACAAAGCAGCGAGTCTTCTCTGGCTATGAATATGCTTCCTCTGTGGCCAAGTTCACAGCAAGGGGAGAATGGTACCTGGTTTCCTTGAGTCCTTCAGGCCAGATCAGTCTTGGGGGAAGAGCAGGGTTTGTCCAGTCAACAAAACAGCCACTCATCGATTGCCTACTATGTCTATCCCAAACACATATGGATCAGGCTATTAAAAGACTTTGAGCCCACTTTTGCCCTTCAAAGTTGCTCCTTTTTACATCTAATGTAAATGAGAGTAAGGCGATCAGGCTCATCAGTGGGTATTTTTAAGGAGAAGGAATATACTTCCTTCATTACTGACCATACAAATATGTAAAAATTATAAAACTTTACTTGAAAATACCTCTGTAGGGGAATTAGAATACAATAACCATAGAATTCCTTTCTAGAGCTCTTCTGTAACTTGGAAGTCTGTATTTATGTTTTCTCCCTTCAATATTTTTTAAGGATTCTCAAGATTCTTGTAGAAACCTGGTCCCTGTACAAAGAGTGGTGTACAATGTCCTCAGTGAACTGGAGAAGACATTTAACCTGTCAGTTCTGGAAGCACTGTTCAGCGAGGTCAACATGCAGGAATACCCCGATTTAATTCACATTTATAAAAGCTTCGAAAATGGTAATTAGGTTTATTAACTACCTTTTCATTTCCAGTGCCATTTTTTTTTCAGTAATCATATACTGAGCTCCTACTATGTGTAACATATTGTGTGGGGCAGTGGGGATACAGTCGTTAACAAAATATACATGCCATGAGTCCTCTCGAAGCTCATGGCATATGGCTGTGGTAAAACAAATACCTGGAGGTCTGCTTAACTGGCCATTTAGACTCACAAGACAACCAGAGCTACATTGGCATCAGGTTTACTTAGAAGAGCATAAAGTAAGAAACAGAATCCCAACAGGGCAGCTTCTTCTCTTCAGTGAGATTCGTTGCAGTGATCTACACGGCAGTCCACCAAATGGACTACTACCTTCCCTGAGTGACAACTTAGCTGTGGGTGCAGGATCCACCTTGGCTCAGCACCACATGCCTTTGGGAGTATATGTCTCTTATAACAATTCGATAGTCACAGCTTTCAGAGCCCTGGAAGGGGCAAGCTGAGCTACAAGAGTTATCAACTGAGGGAAGACCACACTATGGCTTCCCCACAGGTGGTTTTTGTTCCTATATAGTCCCAGTCAACCAATCATGGGTCATTTCTAACCTCAGCGTTTGCCTAGTAACATGGCAAAAAGGCTATTTTTATTAGGTTTCCAGAATATAAGCAAGAAAGTTAACTGTGGGGCAAGTTTGCTTTCAATGAAGAAGTGGTCTTGCTAATCCTTTATCCACAAAGAGTGAAACAAAGATTAATTAAATAATGACAAAACGGATTACTCTGCTAGAGACTGTTTTTGGTGCTATACCAAACTAAAGGTTTCATTCTTGACCTTTTTCCTGAAAATGCACAATTTATACTCTTATAATGGTACACAAGAAAGTTGTCCTCCAGTTTTTTTTTTTTTTTTTTAATTTGCCTAGAAAACTTTTTATTTCCACACAGTTTGATCTCAACTCAGTTCTCCAAATAGGAGATAGAGACATCACAAGAAAAATGGGCACGTGCCCTGAAGAGGGAGGATGCTATGGGAACTGGAATGAAAGCATGAAGGTGTGTCTACAAAACAGGACAAATTAGATTTGGCTAAGTCTGAGACTGAGAAGCAGTATAGAAGCTGACTTAGATCACTTGGAGGAAGATAGTGAATGGTCTGAAATCCAAAGCTAAGGAATTTGAAATTTACTTACTCGGCAATCAAGAAACACTACAGGTTTATAAACAAGGAAAGAAGTGTAAGCGGTTGTATATGGCTTATTGATTTGTGTCAATACTAACCTTATCTAAATTAAGAATAAAATAATTTCTACAGCAAATCATTCAAGTCAGAAGAAATAAAGGAAATCAAATACCTGGGCACAAATTTTGAGTCAGTGTTATGTTTGTAGCCAGGATGGTCCAGGCTGTGGGGATGAGGGAACGGTGCTACCTTTACTGCCCACATTCTGAGGGGCTCTGTTCCTCTCCATGGCCTGCAGGGATCCACCTTCCTAAACCCAGCGCCCGCAACTCACGTGTTAGTTTCTGGCACTCCTTATGCTTGGGTGACCCGCACTGAGGCTCACTGTCGCCCTCCTGGGGCAGCACTGCCCACTGCCCCACCCAGTGCAGCAGCCCACCCACCCTCAGGGAGATGCTGCTGACTCTCAGACCATGAAGTCCACACAAACTGCCCCTGTGTCCTCTATTATGTTTATTTGGGAACTGTTCATCCTCCCTGACCCAATCAAGCCAAAATTCTGTTTTCTAGCCCCATCTTTAAAGCTGTTGGGGTTTTCTCATTTATTTTTTATTTATTTACGCTTTTTGAGACAGGGTTTCGATCCGTTGCCAAGGCTGGAGTGCAGTGGCATAATCTCAGCTCACTGCAGCCCCAACCTCTTGGGCTCAAGTGATCCTCCCACCTCAGCCTCTTGAGTAGCTGGGCACCACAGTTGTGCACCACCGCATCCAGCTAATTTTTTTCTTTTGAGATGAGGTTTAGCTGTGTGTCCTAGGCTGGTCTCAACATCCTGGGCTCAAGGAATGCTCCTGTCTCGGCCTCCCAAAGTGCTGTCATTACAGGTGTGAGCCACTGCACCTGGCTGATTTTCTCTTTTATAATGGAATCTCTCTAGGACTTGAGACCTTCTCCCCAGGGAATCCCTCAGTGTCTTCCTTATGCTTGATGTATGCCTACCCTGCCATCTGACAATTTTGGGGGTAATACAACTCACAATGTTTTCACTACTCGTTAACCTTAAACCTTGAGTGTCTCCCTGCCGTGTAGGACAATAATGTCTTCATTGTTAGGGTCTTCTCTTTTCTGTCCCAGGGGGATAATGGGGGAAGTTTTAAGTCATGTGGAACCCTCTGAGTCACCCAAAAACTGGACATTCATAAAAGCATGATTTCCAGCCGTTGTTCCTGTGCCCTGAGAATCTCTAATTGCTTCTTCTCTGTTCCGCACTTCAGTGATCCAAGACAAGCTGCGTTTACAAGACAGTGAGGGAGAAGAGAGGGAGGAGAGGCCTGACGTCCAACTTAGTCTTGAACAAGGTAAAAATGACAGAGTAAAAACTGTTTCTAAGAGAGGTTAGGGATCCAAGGCTGAGTGGAGACTGTGAATCAGGGAAGACACGTGGAAGGACTATGGAGAAGTCAAGGAGGGAGTTACATGAGCTGCTAACCAGATGTAGGGACCTGGAGAGGTGGCCATGACAAGACATCATTGTTTCAATATGAAGGAATCAGAGCCAAGTGTGACAGTAGGCCAGACTTACAGACGCCAACTACCTAGAAGTAATTGTGATTTAGAAACGTTCTTGTAGGGGATCGGCATGAAGTTGTGAAGAGTTAAGAACCACATCCCATGGCCCATGGTCAACATCAAAGAGGAGACTCTCGGGGAAAGAAATGCTTTTTTATCTGTACCATCCTATTCACAGCACTTCTGACACCAAACATGTTGGTGCTCTCCCCACACCAATCAGTTCTCCAGTTCTCTGCAGATACCACCTGATGTTTTATAATTTAATTGAGTTCTGGCACTAATTACCCAGACTTGGCACAGACTCCACAGGTTAAGGGCTCACTCCCATAAGGATACCCCCTACTTCAGATGCCAGTGCAAGTCTCGGGTTGTGACCTGTGCTTCTGACCAACTGCCTACAAAGTGGAGGTTCCCAGAAGCCCTTTGTTGGCTTTGATACTTTCCTAGTAGACCTCATGGAAATGTTGACTTATATTTGACAATTTATCATAAAGGACACAACTCAAGAACAGCCAAGTGGAAGAGATGCATAGGTCAAAGCCTGGGGAAGGGCACAGAGCTTCTGCCCTCTCTGGGATGCCACCCTCCCAGCACTTCCATGTGTTTGCCAACCCAGAGGATTTCTGAACCCAGACATTTATGTTTTTTATGGACATTAGTCTGGATTGATCAAATCATTGGCAATTGATGATTAAGTTAACCTCCGTCCTTCTTTGCCCCTCACTGGAGGTCAAGAGGTGGGCCTGAAAGTTCCAACCCTCTAATCTCATGTTCAGTTCCCCTGGCAACCACCCCCATCCCTAAGGGCTTTCCAAAAGTTACCACATTAACATAAACTCAGGGTTGGTTGAAAGGGGCTTGTAATGATTAACAGAAAGTGCTCTTTTCGCCATTATCACTTAGAATGTTTCAATGGTTTTAGGAGCTCTGGCCAGGAGCAGGGAATGAAGACTGAAGTGTATATTTCTTATCATATCACAGAAGATGCTTGATGATGGCAAAAGAGGGGACCAGTTTAAGATGTGAGGATGTTGTTCAAGAGCAGGGATAGTCAAAGAGAAAGACAGTCATGTAGAGAGACTCAGAGAAACAGGGGTGCAGATGTGGAGAGGATGTAGGTACTTAAAGGATGAAGGAAGGGAAATGAAACAGTGAAAAGGGGTAAAAGACAACAAAAATAGCCATGTCATTAACAGCTCACTTTGAACGTCTACTTCGTGGTAGCTGGTTTAATGCTCATGGCAGCCATTGGAGATTAGTATTACTTACATTCCCATTTTGCAGCTAAGATAAAGTAACTGAAATCCAGAGAGACCACAAGTGGAGTTTATCTAGGGTCAGATGAACAAGGAAAAACCCAGCTGTACTACCCCAGAGCCTGCATTCCTACCTCTGTGCTATCCAGGGAATCTAAAAATATAAAAACAGAAAAATGAAACAAAAATGGGAAAATATTTGTAGACAAAAAGATCCAGAAAAAAGAATATCAAAAGCGGGAGGAAGTAGAGGCTGTTCGGACACTGAGTCCTCATGGAAAAGCCAGTGAGAAAGCCTGAACAGATGTGGAGAGGGAGGGTGTGTTGTAAAAGGGGGTGGGCACAAGGCAACCAGGACTTCGAAGAAACTGAGCTAAGGGCCCTGGGCAGGGTAGCTCTGGGGACAAAGGCAGGTTCACTTTGCCATTGCGTTACCAGAGTGTCTCACAGAGGACCTTCAATGGGGTCTTCTGGTCAAGGCCCCTGTCAGCCAGGGGTGCAGCTGACCCAGTACCCTACTGTCGAGCTGGAGTCTGACTTCAATAATTGGGTGGCATCTGCCAGCTCCAGGTGGGCTCTGCATTGAGACTAAGAAGGGATCTTTAACTTCTACATTACAGAGACCAAAAAGAGATTAGGGGAGAATGGCAAGATTCATACCTCAACTTCTGAAATAAACTAATTTCTTCCTGCCAGGAACTGGTGAAAACTCTTTTCGAAGCCTGACCTGGACACGTTCGGGTTCCCCGTCTTACGATGGTTTGTTCCTGTTTACTACTCTTTGAGCCTTTGCTATTCTTGCCCCATTCTGGAATGTGCTGTGGGATTGACCCTTTGTGTTAATGATTGACCAGAATTTTCAGTTTTTGCATCTACAGTTTTTCCATTTCTGGAATTTAAATAACAATCCTTATCCTCTAGGTTCTCTAGGAGGGTTTCTTCCTCCCACACCTCTTAAGCATACTTCCTGCTGGTTCCTGCTGCCCTGAGCCTGATCGTTTTACCCATGTGCCTGCTTCACCATTTTCTGCCTGCATCTGCTTGAATCTGACTGTAGCCTTGATGCCTTGATCTTACATCCAGCAGTGGCCCATGCTATGGTGGTTGGAGGGGAGTGACAGGCAGCAGGGGGCAAATAAAATACCTGTGAATCAAAACATGGTTTAGGTACAACCCCACCTGAAAACGGACTCTCAGAGCACCCCTGTGAAACAGAACAGATACATGCAAAGAGAAAAGATACAACCAGTGACAAAAATGATGCACTAGGAAGCCAACAAACAAATAAACAATATGCCCAAAAGGCTGAGCCGGCAGGTAAGACTGACTGGGTTTGCATGCATGGGGAGGAGCCAAGGGGCCCTGGCTGGAGGCAGAGGAAGAGTCTAGTGCACAATGCAAAGAGACACCCGTTTAACAAGCAGGGGAAAATCACACAGACACAGAGAGGGCCTGGTATACTGATGAGCCTGATACACTGACATACTGATGACAAAGACCTGGAGGAAGAAAGCTACAAGAGAAAAACTAAAGAGAAAGGGGAAGAGTTGCATAGCCTCACCAAAGAAGAGAGACAGAAACAGATGGCAAAAGAAAAGAGAGATTGGCCAGGAATCAGTGAAGTGCAAACACCTTCACGCAGCAATATATGCAGACGGGGGCATAGGTAGAAACGTAAGAAGACAGGAGAAGCAGGGTGAGGTCTAACAAAATGGAACAGAGAAAGATAGAACAGAATGGAACAAAATAGGACAGAGAAAGGCTCCACTGGATCTCAACTGTGATCTCATTTATCTTCAGAGTCCTGCGAACAAGCCGCTGTCCGAGTGAATAATGGAGATGCTGGACGGGAGACACCCAGCCCATTGCCCTGTCATGAAGAAAGTAATTATTGCTTACCTTGCCTATTTCTTTTCCTTTCTTATTCAGATGCTATACATTTGTTTGTTTGGTTGGTTGTTGTTTTTCCATTGTAACCACTTCTTTAATTACCAAATTAAAAACTGGATGCATTTATCATGTACATGTTGTTTTGAAATATGTTACACGTATGTGAAAAGGCTAAATAGAGCTAATTAGCATAACTGTCACCTCACATCTTTATCATTTTTGTGGTGATAACACAGAATCTAGTCTCTCAGTAATTTTTAAGCATACATTATTAACTATGTTAATCATGTTATATAATAGCTCTCTTAATGTATTTCTCCTATTTAACCGAAATTTTGTATCCTTTGACCAACATCTCCCCAATCCTTTTCCCCACAACCCCAGCCTCTGTTACCACAATATATTCTCAACTTCTGTAAACGCAACATTTTTACACCCTACATATAAGTGAGATGTAATGTTTGTCTTTCCGTGCCTGTCTTATTTTACATAACATAACATCCTCCAGGTTCATGGTTGTGGTTGCAAATGACAGGATTTCTGTCTTTTCAAAGGCTAGATAATAGTTCAATGTGTAGATGTATTTCACTGTGTATATATTTTTCTTACCCATTCATCCACTGATAAACACTTAGGTTGTTTCTGTATCTTGACGATTGTGAATACTGATGACAGATATCTCTTCCGTATACCAAATGGTCCCTGATTTATGATGGTTAGACTTATGATTTTCAATGGATTTACTGAAATATTAAATGCATTTTGGCTTATGGTTCAATTTATGGTAGGTTTATGGAGATGTAGTCCCAGCCTAACTCTGGGAGCATCTGTACTGATTTCATATCCTTTGAATATATGATCAGTAGTGGGATTCATGGATCTATGGGTAGTTCTTTGTTTAGTTTTTGTTGAGGACACGGCATACTGTTTTTCTTAGTGATTAAAGCAATTTATATTCCCACCAAGAGTGTACAAAGGTTCCTTTTTCTGCACGTCGTCACCAACATTTGTTATCTTTTGTCTTTTCGATAATAGCCATTCTAACCAGTATGTGGTGATTTCATTCTGGTTTTTATTTGCATTTTCTTAATGATTTCTGAGGCAGAGCATTTTTTCACATACCTCTTAGCCATTTGCACGTGGTCCCTTAAGAAATGTTTATTAAGGTCCTTATCCATTAAAAAAAAATTTTTTTTTTAACTACTGAGTTGTTAGAGCTTCACTCTGTTGATTGTTTCTTTGCCTATGCGGAAGCTTTTTAGTTTTATGTATTCCCAATTCTTTTTGCTTTTGTGATTGTGCTTCTGGTATTATACCCAAAAAATATTTGCTCAGACTAATGTCATGAAACTTTTCCTCTATATTTTCTTCTAGTAGTTTTACAACCGTGAGCATTACATTTCAGCATTTAGTCCATTTTGAGTAATTTTTTAATATGGTGTGGGATGGGGTCAAATTTCATTCTTCTGCATGTGGATATCCAGTTGTCCCAACACCATTTATTAAAAAGATAGATGTCCTTTCCCCATTGCATATTCTTGGCACCTTTGTTGAAAATCAATTGCCCATAAATGCATGGATCCAACCTCTCTATTTTATTCCATTTTTCTACATGTCTATTTTATGCAAGTACCATGCTGTTTTTGATTAATATAGCTTTGTTGCATGTATTGAATCAGGTAGTGTGATGCTTTCAGCTTTGTTCTTTTTTCTTAAAATTTATTTGGCTAGTTGGAGTCTTTTGTGCTTCCATACAAACTTTTAAATTGTTTTTCTATTTCTCAAAAAATGCCATTGAATTTTTTTTTTTTAAGAATGGAGTTTTGCTCTTGTTGCCCAGGCTGGAGTGTAATGACACAATCTCAGCTCGCTACAACCTCCACCTCATGGGTTGGAGCAATTATCCTGCCTCAGCCTCCCAAGTAGCTGGGATTACAGGCATGTGCCACCATGTCTGGCTCATTTTTTTTGTATTTAGTAGAGACAGGGTTTCACCATGTTGGTCAGGCTGGTCTTGAACTCCTGACCTCAGGTGATCCACCCACCTCAGCCTCCCAAAGTGCTGGGATTACAGGCATGAACCGCCACATCTGGCTGCCATTGGAATTTTTATAGGAATTGCACTGAATCTTTAGGGGACTTTGAGTAGACTGGACATTTTAACAATAATAATTTATCCAATCCATGAACATGGGGTATCTTTCCATTTCTTTGTTCCTCAGTTTCTCTCATCAATATCTCAGAGTTTTCAGTGTACCCATATTTCACCTCCTTAGTTAAATTTATTCTTAAGTGTTTTATTGTAGTTACCGTAAATTGATTGTAAATTGGATTTTGTTATGTCTTTTTCAGAGAGTTCATTGTTAGTGTATAGAAATGCAACTGATTTTGTATGTTGCATTTGTATCCTGCCACTACTGAATTTATTTATTATTAGTTCTAGCAGGTTGTTTTCATGGAGTCTTTAGGATTTTCTATATATAAGATCAGGTCATCTGCAAATAAGGACAATTTAACTTCTTCCTTTCCAGTTTGAATGCCTTTTATTTATTTTGGCTGCCTAATTATTCTGGCTAGGACTTGCAGTGACATGTTGAATAAAAGTGATCTGTATTAGTCCATTCGCACACTGCTAATAAAGACATACCCAAGACTAGATAATTTATAAAGGAAAGAGGTTTAATTGACTCACAGTTCAGCATGGCTTTAGAGGCCTCAGGACACTTACAATCATGGCAGAAAGGGGGAAGCAAACAAATCCTTCTTTACACGGCAGCAGCAAGGAGAAGTGCGGTGCAAAGGGGGCCAAGTTCCTTAAAAAGCATCAAATCTATCTTGTGAGAACTCACTCACTGTTGCAAGAACAGCATGGAGATAACTGGCCCCATGACTCAATTACCTCCCACTAGGTCCCTCCCATGACGTGTGGAGTTATGGAAACTACAATTCAAGACAAGATTTGGATGGGGACACATCCAACCACATCATCATCCTACTCTCGTTTCTAACCTTAGAAGGAAATCTTTCAGCTTTTTGACATTAAGTTTGGTATTAGCTGTGGGCTTGTCATGTATGGCCATTATTGTACTGAGATACATTTGTTCTATATCTATTTTGCTGAGCGTTTTTATCATTAAAAATGTTGAATTTTGTCAAATGCTTTTTCTACAGATATTGAGATGATCATGTGGTTTTTGTCCTTCATTCTATTAATGTGTATGACCTTTTTAGATGTGTGTTTGTTGATCCATCCTTGCATTCCAGTGATAAATCTTATTTGATCATGGTGTTTAATGTGCTGTTGAATTCGATTTGATAGTATTTTGTTGAGGATTTTTCATATATGTTTATCAAAGAAAGTGACCTATAATTTTCCTTTCTTGTAGTGTTTATGTCTAGCTTTGGCATCAGGGTAATGCTGGCTTCATAAAATGAGTTTCAAAGTATTCCCTCCTACTTAATTTTTAAGAAAAGTTTGAAAAGGATTGCTATTTGTTCTTTAAATGTTTGGTAAAATTCGACAGTGAAACCATCTGGTCCTGGGCTTTTGTTTGGTGGGTGGGATTTGATTACAGTTTAAATCTTACTCATTATTGGTCTGTTCATATTTTTCTATTTCTTTGTTATTCAGTCTTGGCAGGTTGCATGTGTTTAGAAATGTATCCATTTCTTATAGGTTATACAACTTGTTGCCATTAAATTGTTTATAGTAGTGTCTTATGATTCTTTGTATATATGTGGCATAAGAGAGGTAGTGTCTCCTCTTTCATTTCTGATTTTATCATTTGAATGTTTTCTCTTTTTTCTTAGTATAGCTAATACTTCATCAATTTTGTTTATTTTTCAAAAAGCCAACACTTCGTTTTGTTGATCTTATATTTTTTCTAGTTTTAAATTCATTTATTTCTAATCTGATATGTATTGTTCCCTTCTTTCTACTAATTTTTACCTTAGTTTTTCTTCTTTGTCTAGTTTCTTGAGGTGTAACTTTAGGTTGTTTGATATCTTTCTTCTTTCTTGATGTATTCTTGTGTTTATTGCAATAGTCTTCCCCTTAGAAGATGGGGAATACTGCTTTTGCTGTATCCCTTAAGTTTTGATATGTTACATTTCTATCTTTATTTGTCTCAATGGTTAAAAAAATTTTATATTAAGTTAATTAATGAATAAATTAATAGGAAAATTTTTAACCCATTGGTTGTTCAGAGGTATACTTAATTTCCATGTATTTGCAAACTTTTCAAAATTCCTTATTATTGATTTCTAATTTCATATCATTGGGATCAGAAAATATATCTGATGTAATTTGAGCCTTCTTCATTTTGTTAAAAATTGTTTTGTAGCCTAACATATCATGTATCCTGGAGAGTGTCCCAGGTACAACGGAAAAGAATGGTATTTTTCCACTGGTAGATAAAATCTTCTATATATGCGTTTAGGTCCACTTGGTCTAAACTATAGTTTAAGTTTGATGTATTCTTACTGATTTTCTGTCCATTGCTGAAGGTAGGGTGTTGAAGTCCCCTAGTATTACTGTATTAGTCTCTCATTGCTTCAGAACTCAAATATTTTTCTTATATTTCGTTGCTCAAATATTGAGTGTGTATGTTTACAATTGTTATATCATCTCTATGAATTGACTCCATTATTACATAATGACTTTCTCTTTTTCTTTCTTCCTTTTCATTTCTTTTGTTTTTGTTTTGGAAACAGGATCTTGCTCTGTCACCCAGACTGGAGTGCCTAAGTGTAATCATGGCTCACTGCAGCCTCAATCTCTTGGGCCCAGGCAATTCCCCCAAGTAGCTGAGATGACAGGCATGTACCACCATATCTGACTAATTTGTTGTTGTTGTTATTTGTGAAGACAGGATTGCCCTGTGTTGCCCAGGCAGGTCTCAAACTCCTGGGCTCAAGCAATAATTTCACTGATGTAAGCCACCATGCCTGGTTTTATCATGACCTTTTTGGTCTTGTTTTATATTATTTGATTCAAACTGTATCTCATCTGATGTAAGTATAGCTGTGTCTTCTCTCTTTCATTTCCATTTGCATAAAATATCTTTTTCTTTTTTTTTTCTATTTGGTTTATCATGACTCCAGAGATTTCAAAACAAAATAATGAATTTGTTTTGTTTGTTTTTTTTTACATTGACAGTTGTTTGTGTTTGTGGTGTGTGTGTGTGTGTGTGTGCTTTTTTTTGTTTTGTTTTGTGTTTTTAAGAAAAAAAGGAGAGAAGGAGAGGAAGAAAGAGGAAGAAAAAGAGGGAGAGAGAACAGGAATATTGCTTCATTCTAAAAATGGGTATTAATAATGGCTGATCAATATTTTGTGTATTTAAAGTGGACAATGTATATTTTGTGTATTTAAAATGGAGAGCTCTATAAATATTTATTGAGTTTACTTGTTCTGGATCTGAGTTCAAGTCCTGGATATCCTTATTAATTTTCTGTCTCGTTGAGTCTAAATCTCATTATGGGTCTTATGTATCTGGGTGTTAAGATCTCTTATTGTTGCATTGATCCTTTTACCACTGTATCTTTGTTGCCTTTAAACCTATTTTATCAAATGTGAGAATTGCAACTCCTGCTTTTTGTTTATTTATTTATTTTTGCTCCCCATTTGGTTGGTAAATTTTTCTCCAACCCTTTGTTTTGAGTCTTTGTGTATCTTTGGATATACTGTTAGATTTTGGCTGTATCTTTTGATTGGGAGATTTAGTCGATTTAAATTTAGGGTTACTGCCATTTGATGTTGACTGGCTATTTTATCCATTCGTTGATGTAAATTCTTCTTTATGTTGATGCTCTTTACTTTTTGGTATATTTTTAGAAAGGCTCATACTGGTTGCTCCTTTCTATGTATAATGCTTCTTTCAGAAGTTCTTGTAAAGCAGGCCTGGTGGTAATAAAATCTCTGAGTACTTGCTTGTTCATAAAAGATTTTATTTTTCCTTCATTTGTGAAGCTTAGTTTGGCAGGATATGAAATTCTGGGCTGAAAGTTCTGTTCTTTAAGTATGTTGAATATTGGCCCCCACTCTCTTCTTGCTTGTAGGGTTTCCGCTGAGAGATCTGCTGTAAGTCTAATAGGCTTCCCTTTGTGGGTAACCTGACCTTTCTCTCTGGCTGCCCTTAGTATTTTCTCCTTCGTTTTAATCCTGGTGAATCTAACGATTATGTGCCTTGGGGTTGCTCTTCTTGAGGAATATCTTCGTAGTGTTCTCTGTATTACCTGGGGTTGAATTGTCCTGCTTTGCTAGATTGGGAAAATTTTCCTGGATAATATCCTGAAGAGTATTTTCCAGCTTGGATTCATTCTCTCCATCACATTCAGGTACACCAATCAAACATAGATTAGGTCTTTTCACATAGTCCCATATTTCTTGGAGACTTTGCTCATTCCTTTTCATCCTTTTTTTCTCTATTCTTGTCTTGTCGTTTTATTTCATTAAGTTGGTCTTCGAACTCTGATATCCTTTCTTCTGCTTGATCTATTCAGCTATTTAAACTTGTGCGTATTTCACTAAGTTCTCGTGTTGTATTTTTCAACTCCGTTAGTTCATTTATATTCCTCTCTATATTGTCTATTCTTTTCAGCATTTCGTCAAACCTTTTTTCAAAGTTCTTAGTTTCTTTACATTGGGTTAGAACAAGTTCTTTTAACTCCCAGAAGTTTCTTATCATCCACCTTCTGAAGCCTACTTCAGATAATGGAACACAGTCCTTTTCCATCAGGGCTTGTTCTGTTGCTGATGAGGAACTGCAATCCCCTGTAGAGGGAGACAGGTTCTGATTTTGGGTATGCTCGGCCTTCTTAGGCTGATTTTCTCCCTTTATTATAAATTTATCCATCTGTCATCTTTACAATTACCGCCTTTCTAATTAGGTTTCTGAGTCGACATTCAATTTATTGATTCCCAGTGCTGGGATCCGAGCAACCCACTGCACCGGCCAAAATAGCAGCAATAAGACTGATGGTGCTCTTCTGCCTGGGAATCTCTGGTCTGGCTTCCTTCTTGAGTCTGCAACAAGCGGCTCTGCCTTCCCGGAGCTCCAAAGCTTGGTCAGAAGGGGAACCAGCCCCATTTACTCTGCATGAAGAGCTGCCGTGCCAAGGTGCCGGCAAAACTGCTGCGCTGGCCACAAGAGTCGTGCTGGCGACCCGTGGGGCTCCTCCACTGGAAATCTGCTGGTCCGTGAGTGATGAAAATTCGTCTGAAAGTGTGGCGTCCTCTCATTCTCTGAGCTTTCACTGGGAGCTACAATCCCAGGCTGTTAGTGATCAGCCATCTTGGATCTCCTCTAAAATACCTTTTTCTATCTTTTCACTTTCAGTCTATGTGTCTCCTTAAAAGTGAAGTGAGTGTCTTGTAGTTTGCATATACTTGGGTCATGTTTTTTTTTCATTCATTCTGCCACTCTGTGTCTTTTGATTGGAGAATTTAATCTATTTACACTTAATATAATTATTGATAGGTGAGTACTTTCTACAACCATTTTGTTTATTGTTTTCTGGTTGTCTACAAAGTCTTTATTCCTTTCTCTCTTACTGTCTTCCTTTGTGACTAGGTGATTTTCTCTAGTGAAATACTTTGATTACTCTTTATCTTTTGTGTATTCACTGTAAGTTTTTGCTTTCTGGTTAACATGAAGTTTACACAAAACATCTTATAGTTATAACAGGCTATTTTAAGCTGTTAAGTTTGATTGCATACAAAAACTGCCCTTTACTCTCTTATTCAAAATGTTTGATGTCATAATTTACATTGTTTTTATGTAGTGTATACCTTAACAAATTATTGTAGCTAGTTTTTTTAAAAAAAGTCTTTTAACCTTTGTACTAGCTGTAGAAGTGATTTACACATCACCATTACAGTATTAGAGTATTCTATATTTTGACCACACATTTACTTTACCAGTGAGTTTTATATTTTCTTATATTTTCATATTATTAGTTAGCATTCATTTCTTTCAGCTTTAGCATTCCTTGTAAACAGTTCTGGTGGTAATGAACCTTTTCATCTTTTGGTTTCCTGGGAGAATCTTTCTCTCTCCTTTACTTCTAAAAGATAGCTTCACTATGAAAAGTATTCTTGGTTGGCAGGTTTTTTTTTCCCTTTCAGCACTTTGAATATTTCAGCTCATTCTCTCCTGATCTGTGAGGGAGGTTTCTGCTAAAAAGTTCACTGCTATTCCTATTAAATCTCCCTCATATGTTTCTTGCTTCTTTTCTTTTATCACCTTCAGGATCCTCTCTTTGTCCTTGAATATTGACAGCTTGATTATAGTATGTTTTGGGGTAGTCTTATTTGGATTGAATCTGATTGGAGGCCATTGACCTTCCTGCTCCAGGAAATTTTATGTATTTCACCAGATTGGCAAAGTTCTATACTATTATCTCTTTAAATTAACTTTCTACCTTTGTCTTTCTCTTGTCTTTTATGAATTCCTATGATTCAAATATTTGCTCATTAGATGTGTTTCATAAATCCCATAAGCTTTCTTCATAACTTTTTATTCTTTTTCTTTTACTTCTCTAACTGTATTCCAAATAACCTGTCTTTGAGTTGAAATTCTTTCTTCTGCATCATCAATTCTGCTATTGATGCTCTCTGATGCCTTTTTAAATTTCATTCATTGCATTTTTCAGCTCCAGAATTTCTGTTTGATTTTTCAAATAATTTCAATGTCTCTGTTTAACTTCTCATTTTGGTCATTTATTGTCTTCCTGATTTTAGTGAATTATTTCTTTGTATTTTGTTGAGGTTTCCTGAGATTCCTTAAAACAATTATTTTGAATTCTGTGTGAGGCAATTTGTTATCTCCATTGCTTTGGGGTCTGCTATGGGGAGATTATTGTGTTCTTTTCCTCATGTTATGTCTCTTTGGTTTTTATATTTCTTGTTGCCTTACATTTGATCTGTGCATTTGAGAAAGTAGGGACTTACCTAGTCTTTGAAGGTGCAAGGGCAGGCTTGCTGCTGGAGTCCTCAAGCAGGCTAGTCTGGTACCAATGGCAACCAGTGGGCAGGTCTGTGCTGGGGGTGACCTTGAGCCAGAATCTGCAGGGCTCTATACCAGTAGTGGTGCAGGCTTCTTCAGGCACTTGAGTGGGCCTGAAGCCCAGGGTTATTGAAGCCAGCTTGCTGCTGGGATGGACCTAAAGCTCCGTGCCACTGAGTCCAGTTTGGCACTTGGTCTGGTCCAGATCATTGGGTCACAGAGACTGAAATAGTGATCTAGCGGGCTGGAGACTGAGTTTGGGTTGGCCTGAATCCTGGGGCTGCAGGATTTAGGTTGGAGTCACAGTGAGCTTGGAGGTTCACACTATGGGTATTGGCTGGAGTGTGGGGCCTTGGGAGCCTGCCTGGCACTGGGTTTCACTGAAGATGGTTCTGTGGTTTAGGTCCAAGGCAAAGTCTGGTGCTCACTTCCTTCTCCTTTCCCCAAGCATATGGCATCTCTCTCAATGCTGTGCTTCCTGGGGTTGGGGAAAGGACAACATGTGAAACTTTTCTTCCTGCCCTTTTCAATGTGCTTTTTCTTATTTCTGGGCTACACCCAGGCGCTGTGGTCTTTCATCTGGTTTCCTCAGCTCTTGCAAAGGTATTTTCATGCATAGGCAATTGTTCACATTAGTGTTTCTGCAGGGGAAGGAGGGCTGGAAAGTCCTATTCTGACATCTTGCTCTGCTCCTCCCCACATTTCTAATTATATCTTTATTTATCTATAAGCCCAAAACTTTCCTTTGTTTTCTCATACTAACTGTCTATTCCCACCCAAGACACACAGACATTGTGCACAGCCTCTGGCTGCTTTTAACAGGTATGAAATGGAAGGGAAAGAGAAAGTGGGTCTTTTAAATGGAGGGGCTGTCCCTGGGTAGAGAATGCAAGAAGAAAGAGTGCAAAAGAGGTCAACTAGGGATACTAAATAACAAAATATAATTGACCCTTGGGCACTATGGGGGGTTAGGGGTACCAATGCCCTATACAGTCAAAAATTTGCACATAAGTTTTAACTTCCTCAAAGCTTAACTGCTGTTATCCAGAATCATTACTGGTAACAAAAAAAGATGATAACACATATTTTCCATATGTATTACATGCTGTATTCTCACGATAAAGATCGCCAAAGGAAAATGTTATTAAGAAAATCATAAGGAAGAGAGAATATATTTACTATTCATTAAGTGGCAATAGATAATTGTAAAGATCTTCATCCTCATCATCTTCACATTGAGTAGTTTGAGGAGGAGGAGGAAGAAGAGTGTTGGTCTTACTGTCTCAGGGGTGGCAGATGCAGAAGAAAATCTGCACACATGTGGACTCATGTAGTTCAAGCCCCTGTTGTTCAAGGGTCAACTGTACATGAGTGAGACAGATTTTAGATAAAGTGGCATGGTATCTGTACATTGCCATGTTGTGGAGTTGAATAGAAATATGTTGCAAGTTACTTTTTAGAAGTTATCATGAAAACATAGAAATTATTCTGCTTGTCGGATTTGCAAAGGAAGGAGACTCAAGTGAAAGCCCTTCAGGAAGGAATCGGCAAGTGGAGGGACTCTGGTGTGGTAGACAATGGTACTAGAAGAGACCTTTGGTAATAACTGCAATGTTTGAAATGAGAAAAATACAGAAAGACAAAAAGTGATATAGCACTCACACATCACATGCAAAAATGTTTTTGAAGAAAGTGACTTAGAAGAAGCTTGCAGAGGTAACATTAATAATTAAGAAGTAAAGGCAGATTTGAAGAAAGTAGAAAATGCAACAGAGATGGGCAACATCACCTAGGGGACAGCAGGCCTGGGACGAAGTGAGGCAGGAAGGTCCCCAGGGCACAGCATATAAAGAAATTTCACTTGGCATGTGAGACTGAGCTTCCTTAAATTTCAAGGCACCCCAAGGCACCACCTTTACTTCACCCTAGTTCTGACTCTAAGAGAGTGATTTTTTTAAAGTATAGATAAACAGAGTATGAATAGAGAAAAATATAGAGGGAAATAAATACCAAGAAATAGGAAAAATGGGGAGAGGCACAAAGAGAATGATGTAGAGAATGAGTTAAAGGACAATGAATGAAAAATTAGTAGAGAGTGGATCCTGGAAAGAAGGGAAGAGAGAAGACAAATCAAGACATTCTCTGATTTGAGGAGACAACAGTTGGAAATGAGGCACAGGGTTTATCCTGTTACTGTTGAGAAGGACAGGGTGTCCCCTTATCAAAATGGCCCCTGCAACTCTGCCTCTACCCCCAGATTACAATAGGCCTCTCCTCAGGCATCACTTCCTCTCCATGTCTCAGTCACCATCTAGGATCTGTTGATTCTAAACATACGTCTCCAGCTTAGACCTGTCCTCCTGATTCCTTTCCCCAATTGCCTGAAGACCTTTTTTTAAAGACCTGAAGAACATCTCTCCTCAGAAGCTGCGTCTGTCATCTCTTGCTGTGTAATGTAACAAACCATCCTGAAACTTAGCAGCTTAAAACAATCATCATTTTATTTGCCACTTCAGTCAATCTCAACTTTAAAGTATCTCTAACTTGTCCATTTCTGTTCATCCCCAGTGCTAACTCCCTAATCCAGATCCCTGTCACTCCCACTAAAACTAGAGAAACAGTCTCCTGTCTGGCCTCCAGTCTTGCTCCTCTCAAGTCTGCACTTCAGCTGAATAGACTTTTCCAAAATAGAAACCAGTTGATATGACTTTCCTGTTCGAAAGTCAGTGCCTTCACGTGGCCCTTAGCAGTAGGTCAATACTGCTTGGAGTGGTGAATTGAAGGATGCCCACCATGCAGCTGCATGCTCCCCATCACCCACCTCTTACCCCTTCATGCCACATTCCCACCACACCAAATTCCTTTACTTGCTAGAATTTGGCAAGCTCTCTTTCTTTCATCTCTGCCTTTCCTTTTGCTCAATGACAGAGTTAAGCAAAAGGAAAAACAGAGGTGGGGTGAAGGTCTATCCACACTGCTTTTGGGAAAACAGTTTGGGATAATCTTCCAAAGTTGAAAATGCACATACCCTATAACTCAACAATTATATTCCTCAGCAGAAACCAACAGAAGTGTGTATTATGTTCACCAAAACACATAGAAAAGAATGCTCAGGGCAGCATTGTTTATAGAAGCCAAACGTTTGAAACTGTACAAATGAATAAATACTTCATGGCTTTATTCTGTAATGAAATACTATATAGCAGTGAAAATAATTATGCCAAAATGAATACAGATGACTTTCACAAGCATGTTGAGTAAAAAATACATATAATTTGGGGGGATCTGGCTTCTTTGGGGATATACATATATATTGAGAGAGGGGGAGAAAGGGAAACAGCAAGAGAAAAGAGAAGATGATTCTATTTATATAAATTACACAACAGGCAAAATTAATCAGCTGTTAGAAGCCTAGATGGTAGCCGGCTTTGAGCAAGTCAGTGGAAACAGTGGTAAGTATCATTCGCAGGCTTCGGGGGAATTTCTTGATCAAAGTGGTTTACTTCCTTTGTGATCGTTCAAAACCCACTTTTATTCATGTGTCTTATATGATGATTATACTTTTTACTTTTTTAAAAAAGCAAAATATTAGCCATCAAAGGATGAGAAAAGTAGGGAAAGGGAAAGGTAAAAAACAAAACAGAGCCAAGAGTGGCACAAAGGAAGAGAGTTGACCAAAAACAAACAAACAAACAAACAAAAAAACCAGGGAGGTGGTGTGAAAGCCTGTCCCCAGCAGTGAAATTGCAGAGAGGGAATTATTAACGATAGTGAAGGAGATCCACAGGAGAGACAAATGAAAATTCTTCATTTGTTACAATTTGGCCCAGGGTCAGAGCTACGCAACCATGGAGTCCAAATTAATTCCTGTTCTGTGCGACTGGTGGATATAAAGAAGGAAAAGCCGTTTTTTAATTCAAAAGTTGAGCGCCAAGCCAAAGCAAGAACTGATCGTAACCAGGTGTCTGACATAATAGGTAAGGCCGACTGGGAGAATTTGTAACTGTGAGTCACAGGTTACCAGGTAAAGGGCTTGGGGACTTCATCAGGGCTCATCGGGGCAGTGCAGTTAGCCTGAGATGGGGTGCTAAGGGAAAGAGGCTGGCACCCGATGCAGTGAACCTTCAGCTTGACAGAAGAAAGTCCTTAGCAATCAGGAAAATGCCAGAAGTCAGAAATGGAGGTATTAAGTAAGAATGTCAGAGAGGCTATTTCTGAAGTCAGAGGGGTGCACCTGACGACTCATACCTGTAATCCCAGAACTTTGGGAGGCTGAGGCAGGCAGATCACCTGAGTCCGGGAGTTTGAGAGCAGCCTGGGCAACATGGTGAAACCCCATGTCTACAAAAAACATAAAAATTAGCCAGGCAAGGTGGCTTATGCCTGTAGTCCCAGCAACTTGGGAAGCTGAGGCAGGAGCATGGTTCGAGCCCAGCATGCAGAAGGTGCAGTGAGTCAAGATCGTGCCACTGCATTCCAGCTCAGCAGCAGAGCAAGACTCTATCTCAAAAAATAAGGAAAAATATGAATAAAAATAAAGTAAGAAAGGAAGGCATGGGAGAGGAGCTTTTATAAAAATAAGAAGAAGATCAGGGAGTCAAGATATTCACAAGAACAGATGTGAGGAGAAACACACCAAGACAACGAGAGGTATAAAGAGACACCATCACCAGAAACAGAGGCAGAAGCAGGGGAGACGGCACAACAGAGGAAAGATGAGAAATAAAATAAGAATGATAGAAAAAAGTAGAATGAGGGTTGGGATAAGAACAGTGTCAGTGGGTGGGCACGACTGCCTTCTGGGTATCAATTTTATCAGCTTTTGGTTAAGAACCTAGAACGAACTGCAGGTGGTCTACATTCAAGGAGCAGTCCAGGGTCTTGAGTTAACTTAGCTTCCAGCTCTTCATAGTGCTCTTATTGTGGAAATTTCTGGGGCATGGACTCCTTGGTCACACCCTGAGACTCTTAATGGGTTTTGCTCCTTTGCACAGTCATCAGCAGTGAGGACTCTGAAGGATCCACTGACGTTGATGAGCCCAAAGAAGTCCCCAGCTCAGCACCGAGAAGTGAGCCTGGTAAGGAAAGTTGGGAGAGCAAGGCTTGGGCTGTGAGAATCTGATTTAAGAGCTACTCTTTCCTTATGCATTTTACTCTGAGCCCATTCTATAGGCTGGGTCCAGTTTACCCTGAGATCCCATTCTTTGCATTAATTTTACTTAACCTTTTTGGAAAATGCAGGGAGACAAGAAATTGTTATAAACATATTTTTGAGAATTAGCCTTCTTTCTTGATGGATTCTATTAATCAATATGCATACCCATACATTGATTGTATAGTAGGAATAGGCTAGCCGAGTGATGAGTTTATTTTTAAAACCAACTAGTTGCTGTGGCTATATAGTGTAGATTTATACTGTGATTTTTACAGAGAACAGAAAGCTAAATAATCCTTTATGGGAAAATCTTATTGTCATCTGATCAAAGTTTGGTTAGGGTCAAAAGACATTTCATCCAACAATCTGGTGTTGGCAAAAATAAACTCTTGAGATAAAGAATTCTGAAACCTGAAGTATTGTTCTGAGAGTTCTTCCGCAAGTCATGGCACATTTAGTAATCTTTGGAAAGATTTTTGCAAATTGTCTTATTTTTAAATTTACAATAACCTTAAAAGGGTAAACAGAAGAGAGATTGTCATCCTTATTTCCTAGATGAGAAAACACAATTACATAAATGTTTCAAAGTCATCTCCAAAATCTCAAGGTAAATGAAAGGAAAGATAAGACTAGTATCCTGGATTCTAAGTTACTTCCTTTGTGAAATGAAAGAGAGAAGCGTTATCAAAATCTTGTATTATCTCAATTCTATTTGCAGCATAAGATTTATAACTTTTTAATGTGCAAATTGATTTGTTTTTCCCTTTACTTTCTAGATCCAGAGGATATTAGAAACATGCCACTTTAGGGGAAATACACTAGGGAAAGACCTAAGGGTCAAGAAAAACATTACCTCATCTTGATGTTATAACAATATGTTGAGTAATATATTCATTCTAATTTCTCACTATCTTTCAAAGTAAAATGTAAATTTGCCTTAGTGTTTAGACAGGAGGTACCCTAACTTTGATCTTAGTGTAAGCAAACTGCTCTAAAAGATAGTCCCAAAACATGTATTTGGCTCAAACACAAGGGAAGATTATTTCTCAGCCTTGTAAACAATTTGGGAAGGCACTGGGTTGGTAGGAGGTAGAGGAGGCTCACATCTTTCACTGAAGATCTTCAAGGTTTCCCTGCATGAAAAATAGAGGCAGAAACAAAGAAAACATGGAATGGCAAGTAGAAGGGATGAGAAGTAAAATAAGTATGGGAAAGCAAAGGCCATGCAAACCAAAGTTTCCCTTTGGGGACAAGAACTGAGTATCACTAACCCACAATGCAGGTAACGTGAAAGGAAAGACAAGTGTGGCCTAGGACAAGAGAGGACTTGCACGGATTTTCAAGGTTTTCTAACTAGGGAATTTCCTACTGAATTGATTCCTTGGTCACACACTAAGGCCTCTAAAGAATCCTATTCTTTTGTGCAGTGGTCAATAATGACAGCCCTTTAGAATCAAGTGAGGAAGAGGAGGACCAAAAAGCCACTTGCTCAAGATCTCAGACTGGATCAGGTAAGAGTATTAGAATTGCAACCTGACATTGCCTCGTTCTGAGTACATATTCAGAGTACAAGTCCAGAGCTCTCTTTCCTTGATTAATTTTATTCTGAGCAGTCTCCATATGCCTTGATTGTATAAATTCTAGAATACAATTTTCTACATTTAACCTCTCTGGTCCTATTGAGAAATGGGACATGAGGAAGGTCATATAAACTTGTTTAATCAGATTGGTTCAATCGATTGATATATTGAAAATGTAGCTATAATATGATAGTAAAGTAACAGTCTTTTTAACAACAAATGATCATATCTATTAATGCTAAAGAGTTGAAATAACGTACTTATTCTCTACTATCACCCTTTATATTTGATAGAGCATGATAAGCACAGTCTTTCTTTATTTGTTGATAATACTATTTTAATCACAAGCTTAGAAAGTCTTCAAAGAATAATTTGTGATGCGATTTCATTATTGATGGGGAAAAAATTGACTTCAACTATATCTATATTCAAATTATAGTTTACTCATTGGCTTACATTGGGATTTTTCACAGGGCTTTTGTAAATGAAGCTTCATTTTCCCATCACAAAAATTTTGACAGGGAGATAGAATAACTAGTTTATCCCTGCTTTGTAGATGAGAAAATGGGAGCTAGTGATGTTTAAGAGTCATTTACCACCAGGTGCAGTGACTTGCACCTGTAATCCCAGCACTTTGAGAGGCTGAGGCAGGTGGATTGCTTGAGCTCAGGACTTCAAGACCAGCCTGGTCAACATGGAGAAACTCCATCTCTACCAAAAATACAAAAACTGGCTGGGCATTGGTGGTGTGCACCTGTGATCCAGCTACTCGGGAGGCTGAGGTGAGAGAGTCACTGGAGCCTGGGAAGTTGGGGTTGCAGTGAGTTATGATTGTGCCACTGCACTCTGGCCTGGGTGACAGAGTGAGACCTTGTCTCAAAAATAAATAAATACATAAAAAAGAATGAGATCATGCCTTTTTCTTTTTGAGATGGAGTTTCACTCTTGTTACCCAGGCTGGAGTGCAATGGCGTGATCTCGGCTCACCGCAACCTCCGCCTCCTGGGTTCAGGCAATTCTCCTGCCTCAGCCTCCTGAGTAGCTGGGATTACAGGCATGCACCACCATGCCCAGCTAACATTTTGTATTTTTAGTAGAGACGGGATTTCCCCAAGTAGACCAGGATGGTCTCGATTTCTTGACCTCATGATCCACCTGCCTCGGCCTCCCAAAGTGCTGGGATTACAGGCTTGAGCCACCGCACCCGGCCCGAGATCATGTCTTTTAAGAGAGCATAAATGAAGCTGAAGGCTATTATCCTTAGCCAACTAACGCAGGAACAGAAAACCAAATGCCACATGTTCTCACTTGTAAGTGGGAGCTAAATGATTATAACTTATGAACACAAAAAAGGAAACAGCAGACACTGGGGTCTACTTGAGGGTGGAGGGTGGGAGGAGAAAGCAGAGCAGAAAAGATAACAATTGAGTACTGGGCTTAATACCTGGGTGATGAAACCATCTGTACAACAAACTCCTGTGACATACAATTACCCATGTGACAAACCTTCACATGTAACCCCAAACCTAAAATAAAAGTTGAAAAAAATAATTAAAAAGAGGCATTTGCAATTAATACACACAGAAGATTATAGGGAAAGCTGGGCAGAATCCCAGCATTATGATCCAGAACCCCCAGAACTAGATTCGCTAGAAGGAGAGAGAAAAATTCTCATCAAAACTTCATCATTAACCCAAGCCCATCTGCCCTGTCAGTTGTCATAGAATTTATACGTCTCTTGTATACAAATAATGGGTTTTTCTCTATTATTTTTTTACAGACACCATGGATTTCAGAAAATCGCCTATATTCAGAGAAAGCTGTAGGAAAAGAGGTAAGAGAAAATAACTCTTCATGGTTAGAAATGAACAATATTTTCTACAAAAGAGTCAGTCTAATTCCTTGCTATATCCTTCAGAATAGAATGCAAATTTGCCTTAAATTTCAGTGGTTCCTATTTTACCTTTTGTATTAGTTAGTTTGACTAACTGCTGTAAACCCAAAGAAGTCAATGACTCCAACAGGATAGAAGGTTCTTTATTTTTTTAGTAGAAGTTTATTTTTTTTTTAACTGACTATTTCAAGGATTTTTAGATGGGAGAGAGGTAGCACTCTGCTTCAAGCAGTTCTTCAGGGAAGCAGACAAGTAGAAGATCTGCCTTCTTCAATCCAAGACTTCCATGGTTTCCCTGAGATAGAAGCAAATTTATAAATAAATACAAATCCATATACAAAAACTACAACAAATTCATAAAGAGACAAGTAAACAAAGAAAAATAACATGGTGTAAGATGACAGAGGGCCAAGACAAAGCAGAGATGCCCAGTGGGGCTAAAAGTTTCTCAGCCTCAAGCTCAAGTGACAGTGAGTGATAAAATACTAACCTTGAGCCACACAAATTTGAATCAAAAGATGGATGATGGAGGTCTGAAGGCACGGACATTCTTGCCCTGAAGTTTCAGAGGGTCGCAAATTTTTTCTAGTTTCCTTTTCATGGAATATTCTTCTGTCTTGGTCCCTTTGTCATACATTGAGACCTCCAAAGGATATTTGCTCCTTTCTGCAATGATAGGACAAGACCATGACTCTTCAGAATCCAGTGAGGAAGATGCAATTCCAAGAATCTTAAGCAGGGCACTGAGAAGCAAGCACAGCGAGAATGGTAAGAACAGCCCCCTTGACTTCAGAGCTCTGACTTCAGAGTGCCTCTTCCCTGGCGCACCGTGCTCTCAGCACACACAACGGCTATGGTCTCGTTGAGACCAGGAGTCAGTTCTCTGCATCTATTTCATCTGGCCATTTTGAAAAATGCAAGGAAAGAAGTCTTTGCATTTGGACTAAAAAATTCAGGTTTAACAAGATGGTCGTGGTTGAATGGCAATGTCCTGTTTACTACATACTGCTTATATTAGTCCATTTTCATGTTGCTGATAAAGATATGCCAGAGACTGGGTAATTTACAAAAGAAAGAGGTTTAATGGACTTATAGTTTCACATGTCTAGGGAGTCTTCACGATCATGACAGAAGGTGAAATGCACGTCTCTCTTGGCGGCAGACGAGAGAAGATGGCTTGTGCTGGGAAACTCACCCTTATATAATAGTTCAGATGTCATGAGATGTATTCACTATCACAAGAACAGCACAGGAAAGACCTTCCCCCTGTGATTCAATTACCTCCCACCGGGTACCTCCCACAATACATGAGAATTCAAGACAAGATTTGGGTGGGGACACAGCTAAACCATATCATTGCCAGACCTCACTCCAATGTGTTGGATTTACTATATCAATTTCTACTTCTTCCCATTCCTTATTTTGTAGAGAAGAGAATGTACAGTAGTCTGTTATTGCTTTACTTTGTCACAAAATTGTTCAAAATTCCAAAGCCTCTGGTCATACTCTCTAGTTATTGACAGAAAGAAAGTCTCCTAGTTCTTACCATCAAATTCAATTCATAGCTTTTGACAGATGGCCCCCAACATGATATTGGCCAAATAATGATATTTGAAAATAGGATTTTCTTGCATCTTTACAACAACATAAAAGGTGGGCAAGATAACTATTGTTCCCCCATTTCACAGATGGGGAAACTCAGCCACACAATGATCTTTTTTCTTTGCACATCATGTATGGAAAGTTACAGGAAGAGACAAGACTAGCAGCCTGAACTCATTAACATTCATAATACTCATAAAACCTTCAAAGCCAGATGTACTTCAAAGCTCAAAACGTATTTTATTATTTTAGAAAGACAATGTGGTTTATATTCTACATAAAACAAAATACCCTACTGGGATCCAAGGCAGAATCCTGTTCTCAAATATACTAACGTTTCTGCAGCAAATTATATAAATATTCACAGCAAATATAATAAGGTTTACATGAACTCATGGCAACTCAAGTCCAGATTCCCTGCCAAATTAGCTGCAAACCTGTGAAAACAATATTGGTTATCAAAATTTCTTTGAGGCCAGGTGCAGTGGCCCATGCCTGTAATCCCAACACTTTGGGAGGGTGAGGCATGTGGATCTTTTGAGCCCAGCAGTTCAAGACCAGCCAAGGAAACATGGCAAAACCCCATTTCTACAAAAAATTAGCTAGATGTGGTGGTGCATGCCTGCAGTCCCAATGACTTGGGAGGCTGAAGTGGAAGGATCATTTGAGTCTGGAAGGTTGAGACTGCAGTAAACTGAGATTGCACCACTGCCCTCCAGTTTGGCTGACAGAGTGAGACCCTGTCTCAAAAAAAAAAAAACAAAGTCTTTGATTTTGCAATTAAGGCTAAAGGATTGTGGGTCTATGCTCCATTTGATAGTAATCCCTTTCCCTTTGATGGGAAGAGACAGAAATGATCCTTGTGGAATATTTATAGTCCAAATTCTGTCAACAGTGTAAGTAGTCATAAGATTTATAGATCTTTTAGACATTATTGGTTTGGCTTTCCTTTACTTTCTAGATCCTATGACTTCTGGAAGTACATCTGCTTGGAGAACACACAAGAAGAGACGTAAGAGCAATTAAAAGCTCTCCATGTAACGAATACCTTTCTTTGCTACAAAAGCTATGTTCCCTTTTTTTTCACAGCCTTTAAAACAAAAAAATTAATTTGTTGGGATTTTAGATGCTTTGCATTTTACATTTTCAATTAGATGAATTGGGCCGGTATAAAACATAAGCCTCAAAATGTTCAAAGGCACAAGTGCAACACAAGTTTATTTTTCACTCACATAAATAGGATAAAGTAGTCCCTGAGTGGAAGGGGTGCCCACACAGTCATTTAAGGCTCAGCTGATGGAGGCTCTGACATCCTTAAGATGTTGCTTCCATGGTTCCCTTGGATAAGATACTGAGACGGAAGCAGAAGTATGTACAAACAAATGAAAGGGTAAGAAATGTAAGAAAGAACGTTGTCCCCAGTGCCAGCCTCAGAGATGGCTGCTGGAGCAATCTTGACCAACAGGTCAGATGATCAAAGCCAAAGGGTGGCCTAGTGGTAGGAGCTTGTCCTTGTCCTGCCTGTCTAAGTGGACACACTCCTACACAAGCTTCTCTTGTCCAGTTTTTCTTTTAAAGAATTCCCTGCTGGTTCCAAAGACTCAGACTAAGACTGTTAAGGAACTTCTTTTTTTTCTGCAGGTTTCAGCAGTACTGACTTTTCAGAGCTGAGTAATGGAGAAGAGCCTCAGGAAACCTGCAGCTCACCCCTAAGAAGTGGGTCAGGTAAAGAAGATTAGGATGCCAAGACTTGGCCTGCAGAATGTCAGGAATCTGAATTAAAAGCTACTGTTTCCAGACCCTTTTTATTCTGACACCTTGACTGCCTTGTATCCAGTTCATCTGGGAACTCCTTTTTGCATTTCAGAAAATGGAAGGAGGCAGGAAATTATGATAAACTCATGTTTAACAGGATGAGTCTCACTGACTAAATGTATGTAATTATATATTGCTGTTGCAGAAGAAATAAATAGCAAATTTGTGGTATCTTTTTTTAAAACCTGCTCTCATTCCTATTAACACCAAGATCTTAGGGTTTTATAGTAATAAATGGGTTGACATCAATGTCATTCGTAATTGTAAAGCCTCAAAAGACAACTGCTCCTACTATGTAATTATAGACAGAAATAAAAACTTCAGATCAAACACTTCAAACTTTACTATAGTTTTTGACAGATGTCCTTCATCATATAATTTGATTATATTGTGTTATTTCAATATATTTGGCAAACAAGATCTTATTTTGTCATCACAAAATTTTTAAGACATAGGCAGACTCTTACTATACCCATTTTGGGGTGAGGAAATAGATGTCCAGAAGTATTAGGGCCAAAAAACTTAAGGAATAATAGAGACTAGCAACCCAGGTATCTCATGCAGTTGACTTTTGTATGTAACAGAAAGATAATAGCTGTATCATTTAAATCAAAGTCCAGAGGAGATGCACAAGGAACTCAGATATTCACAGGAGACTATACCAGTACCTGATGCAAGAAAGCTTATTTAACAACAACTGTGTGTGTGTGTATGTGTGTGTACACATGCATATATTTGTTACATATAACATATGAGTGTATGTGTGTATGTATAGGTTAATACATATACATCTTTATGGGGAGGGGAATAAAAATCACAGAGAGAATAGGAATGGAACCAGCTATATAATATACAAAACACCTATAAAGATAGAAGCAAAGTGGATAAACATAGAAATAGAGGAAAACAGAACATCATTGATGAAAACAGAAGAAGCAACACAGGAGACAAGAAAAATCAAAGAGAGATCAGCTCACAGAATCAAAGAGATAGAGACAAAAATGTATAACAGCAGGGCAATGGGCAGAAAACGAGAGGTCAAGAGGAGAATCGGGTGTGGCCAGATAGAGTCGGGCTATGATGTATACTCATTGATATAGGAATATTTTTTTGTCAGTTCATCTAAGCTCTGAAAATAGCTCAGCATGACCACATTGAGACATGTTCCCTGGTTTCCTGTTCACTGTTGATAGTCTGTTATTTCCTTGTTTGTCTTCATTGTCCTGTGAATGAATTCAAAGCTCCTCCAATAAATACACAAAGAGAGTCAGACAAGATACAGTCGATTAGCTTGTGATGGAGAGGCAAATTATGATGTTAATTATCGATTATCTTTGTTTTCCTACTAGTGTGGAGGAAAAGCTCTTTCTTCTTTTCCTTACCTCTCCTCCAAAACATATACACACACACATACACACCACACACAGAGAGACTTGTGCACAGACTGGGGCTGCTTTCAACAGGTTTGAGGGAGCCAAAAGAAAGAGAAGAGCTTGGCTCCTGAATAGAGGGAGGAGACACTGAGTGGATAAAGTAAGGAGAAAAAATGGAGAAAGGTAGGCTAGAGTTACCAAATGAAAAGATATGAGAGCCAACTTTAAGTTTTTCTAAGTGGATGAGGAATCCAAATATTCCAGGTCAGGGAGTTCTGTGGGGGAAGAGGGATAATTTTCAAAATACTTCTCAGAAATTGTACCAGAAACATGAAAATAAAATTTGTGATTGTTTGACAGCCTTGCAAGGTAGAAAGCTCATAGGGAACAGACAAAGGTAATAGAGATGGCTATGTGGTCAGTGTCCAAAGAGCAGGCATTTGGTGGTAAAGTAATAATCTGAGATAAAGATGAATACAGATAAAGAAAATGTTGATAAAGACAAAGATTGAAATCTTGAAAACAGGCAAACGATCAAGATAAGATTCAGAGAAACAAAGACAGAAGAGAGAACAAAATGGGCAAGTGACAGGAGAAAGAAGTTCACCTCAATAGTAAAACTAGATCTAGAGATGTAAACAGGAAAACAGGTGGAATGAGATACACACAAAGGGTGATAAAATGGAGTGGTGTAAAAAATGTGGTACAATGTCAAGTATGTAGATAAAGAATTAAAACATGAGAGAAAATGGAGGTGAGAAGGGGGAAATGTAAAAGGGAGAGAAGAGAATGATGGAGAGAGTGTGGGTTCTGAAGGGACCGTGAGTTAAAAGCAACCTTAGCACAAGTCATGATTCATAATAGCCCTAAGTTTTCGGAATAAGGTATCCCCTGGCCCCTCTGACTCACCCAGATTACAAAAGGCCTCACTCAGGCATTTCATCCACTCCTAGGATTTCAGTCACCACCCACAACTTCATGATTCCTACATGTATATCTCCAGCCAGCCCTCTCTTCTAAACTCATTCAGGAGGCTCCTGTCCGAGGTCCTGAAGACCTTAGAGTCTTCACCACTCAGTATCTTCAAACTTCAGTCTCAACACCACCAAAACTAGGCACTTCGTCTCTTTCCCTAAAACCAGCCTTTGCTCCTCCAGTGTTCTCTGTCACTGAAAGATACTCTTAATTGACCCTTTATTTCAAGATGAAATTCTCAGGGTTATTCACGAACAGAAGGGACAAATACAGTGAGGAACAACAAAAGAAAAAGATTTCAGAGGTAGCGCCCATCCCTTAACTTAGCTGTGGGGAGTGGGTAGTCACAAAATTGGGGGAAAGGAGAATCTCAGGAGGGGAGTAAGCACAAATAAAAACTTTTACAAATCACAATTTAGGAACAGAGCTACAAGAACCTGAAAATAAGAAGTGCACCTGTGTCATGTGTTTTCCAAAAGGTGTGAAAAGAAGCCAAGAAGCAAGGCCTGAAAGTAGCCAAGCATCTGGCATGATGGGTAAGGCTGCCCTAGGGTCTTGGGATGGAAGTGGCTCAGTCGATTTCACAGACACTGGGTAGGGATGTGGGAAGTGATCAGAGTTGAAGCGGAGCATCAAGCAGCCTCTGGATCACCAACAGGAAGTAGGATCACAGGCCTCAAGCCTCAAAATTTCAGAAGCCTGAAATCATAGCCTTCCTTTCCTGCTGCACTTGACTGTGAGCAGACTGTGACAAAGAACAGGTCCATGCCAGGATCCTGTTCTCTGCATTTGCCTAACCTGACTCTTTTGGGAACTGCTGGGAGGCAAGAGATCATTATATACTCTTGTTTATCAGAATGAGCTGTCTTAGGTAGTAAAAACACACTGATAAAAACAGCAGTATCTCACTTGCTATATTAGCCTATCAATGCTAAGTGTTGAATACATAACGCAGGTTCCACGCTTCTTCTTGCAACAAACAAACAAACAAAAACACATTCTTCCACTCACGGGTAATAGTGCCACTTTGTCACAACTTTGGAAAGGCCTAAAAAGACAGATAGTCCTGCTACCTGCCAGGAAGAAGCCTCAGATACCTACTCTTAAGCTAAAAACATAGTTTTAAAAGATATGCTCTGGTCTGTTATTGATTTATATAGTGATTTCCTATTAATGTTTGCAAATACAATCATATTTAATATTCATAAAAAGTTTAAAGCTGAACAGGATAACTGCTGCCATCCCTGTTTCATAAATGAGGAGACTGGTGCCTAATTAAGTAATTAGGAGCTGTTTCAAAGTCTCAGAGAACTAGAGGAAGACCTTAGACATCAATTCAGTATCTGTTTCCTTTGGAAGGAAGACAGATAAATTATACTCAGAATATTGTTATAAAACCCAAGCCTTCCATGTAGAATGAATTGTCATAAGATTTGTACATTTTACTTATAAATTACAGTTCTCTGACCACTACCTGTCACTTTCTAGATACCATGGATGTTGAAAACAATTCTACTTTGGAAAAACACAGTGGGAAAAGAAGTAAGAACAAATCAGAATTTACTTAATTTTTATGTTACAAATGAACTATTTTTTAATGCTAAGGCTTATTATCATTATTTTCTTTTTTCAACTTTTATTATAGATTAAAGGGTACATGTGCAGGTTTATTATGTGGGTAAATTGTGTGATGCTGAGTCTTGGGGTCCCAAAAATCCCATCACCCAGGCAGTATGCATAGTACTGAACAGATGATTCTTCAGCCCATGCCACCCTCCGTCTCTCTCTCCCCCATCTAGTGGTCCCCAGTGTCTCTTGTTCCCATCTTCATATTTATGTGTATTCGATCTTTAGCTCCCACTTATCAGTAAGAACATGCAGTATTTGGTTTTCTGTTCTTGCATTAAGTTGCTTGGGATAACAGCCTCCAGCTCCACCTATGTTGTTGCAAAGGACATGTTTTCATTCCTTCTATGGCTGCCTACTGTTTCATGGTGTATATGCGTGCCATATTTTCTTTATCCAATTCGCTGTTAATGGGCAACTAGGTTGGTTCCATGTCTTTTCTGTTGTGAATAACACTACAAAGAACATGTGAGTGCATGTATGTTTTTGATAGAATGAATTATTTTCCTTTGGGTATATACCTAAAGGTAGTGGGATTGCTGGGTCAAATGGTATTTCAGTCTTTAGGTCTTTGAGAAATCGCCACATTGTCTTACACAATGGTTGAACTAACTTTACACCCCCACAAACCATGTTCCTTTTCCTCCACAACCTTGCCAGGATCTGTTATTTTTAATTTTTTTTTTGACTTTTTGATAATTGCCATTCTGAGTAGTCTGAGGTGATATCTCACTGTGATTTTGATTTGCGTTTATCTGATGATTAGTGATGTTGGACATTTTTTCATATGTTTGTTGACCATTTGTATGTTTTCTTTTGAGAAGTGTCTGTTCATGTCCTTTGCCCATTTTTAAATTGGATTTTTGGGTTTTTGCTTGTTTGTTTGTTTAAGTTTCTTCTAGATTCTGGTTATTAGACCTTTGTCATATGCACAATTTGCAAAAATTTTCTCCCATTCTGAAAACTGCCTGTTCACTCTTTTGGTAATTTCTTTTGTTGTGCAGAAGTTATTTAGTTTAATTAGGTTCCACTTGCCCATTTTTGTTTTAGTTGCAATTGTTTTTGGAAGCTTAGCTATAAATTATTTGCCAAGGTCTATATCAGGAAGGGTATTTCCTAGATTTTATTCTATGATTTTTATAGTTTTAGGTCTTACATTTAAATCTTTAATCCATCTTGAGTTAATTTTTGCATAGGATGAGAACTATGGGTCCAGCTTCATTCTTCTTTGTATGTCCAGCCAGTTATTCCAGCATCATTTCTTGAATAGACAGCCCATTTCCCATTGCTTATTTTTGGTTGATTTTGTTGAAGATGAGGTAGTTGTAGGTGAGCAGATTTGTTTCTGGGTTCTCTGTTCTGTTCCACTGGTCTATGTGTCTGTTTCTGTACCACTACCATGCTATTTTGATCACTGCAGCCTGATAGTAGAGTTTGAAGTCGGGCAATGTGATGCCACTAGCTCTGTTCTTTCTTTTTGTTCTTTTTTTTTGACACGGAATTTCACTCTTGTTACCCAGGCTGGAGTGCAATGGTGTGATCTCAGCTCACTGCAACCTCCGCCTCCTGGGTTCAAACAATTCTCCTGTCTCAGCCTCCTGAGTAGCTGGGACTACAGGCACGCACCACCATCCCCAGCTAATTTTTGTATTTTTAGTAGAGACGGGGTTTCACCATGTTGACCAGGATGGTCTCGATCTCTTGATCTTATGGGCTGAGCCATCACGCCCAGCCAGCTTTGTTCTTTTTGCTTACAATTGCTTTGGCTATTCAGGCTCTTTGATAGTTCCAAATGAGTTTTAGAATAGATTTTTCTAACTCTGTGAAGAATAGCACTTTTATTTTGATAAGGATGTTGTTGAGCCTGTAAAGTGATTTAAACAGTATAGCCATTTAAACTAAATTGATTCTTCCAAACCATGAGCATGGAATGTTTTTCTATTTATTTGTGTCATCTCTGATTTCTTTTAGCAATGTTTTGTAGTTCTTCTTGTAGACATCTTTTACCTTCTTGGCTGAATGAATTCCTAGGGAATCTCGTTTTCTTCGTGGCTGTTGTAAATGGGACTGTGTTCTTCATTTAGTTCTCAGCTAGAACGTTTTTAATGTATAAAGATGCTACTGATTTTTATACATCGATTTTGTATCTTGAAACTTTACTAAATTTGTTTGTCAATTCCAGGAGCACTTTTCCTACACCTCTCATAAGACAAAACCTGAATGCCTTTTAAAGTAGCAATTTATTTTTCAAAATGCTCATGTTGCTTTTTATTCTGTCTCCATCTTTGTTTTCATTCTGATTTTAAAATAGATGTTCTTGTGAACATTGGTGTCTATCTTTCCAGAATTTTACTATGCGTGTATTAACACATTTTGGAATGGTTTTATTTATTTAAATAAAGTAATTCTGTACATACTTTTCCTTTCTTGCTTTTCAAGCTAATATATCTAGAGAATAAAAACCTTTTAAATAGAAATATAAAAAAGTCTATTTCAGGGTTGCTTTAACATGCATTGCTCTCATGTTTAGTGTGGTCAGGTCAGGAATTTTTCGTTTATTATTGGTCGTTTCTTTTTCTTCTTTGTAGAACTCTTTGTCAGAGAATGCTGCTAGTGTTTTATGTTGTGGTGTTTTTCTTATTATGCTGAATGAATACAGAAATCTTATATGTCGTATATTTTAAATCTTGGTCATATGCATTGCTAGTATTTTGTCCATTTGTTGTTTCTCTTTTAGATTTGTTAGGGGAATATTTTGTCCTAGATAAGTTTTAAATTTTTATGCAGTCAAATTTGCCAGCCGTTTTCTGACTAGTTCCCCGGTTCCATATCATATTTGCAATAGACATTTCTTCCTCAAGATTTTTAAAATATTGTTCTAAATTTGATTCTAGAAGTTTGATATAACTGATCATTTTTAATGTTTGCATATATAATCCACATGGGATTTGCCTTTGTGTGTAAGCGAGTGGGAATTTACAAAACATTCTCCACTCTGTGGCATGGTGATATAAATCACCATTTTGATTACACAGTGCCTTTACCTGTCTATATTCTATGATTTTCTTTTGTAATTGAAGAGACTACAGAAAAGAAAGAAGAGCTCAGAGGTAGAACCATCCTGATGCCTCAGTGGGGGTGAATTTTAGAATGAGCTCAAGAAATCTCTTCCAACTCCTCAAGAAATCTCTTCCAAATCCATCAAAAGCTCTGATTAGAAATGCATTCAACTGGCTGATTGTGGTGGCTTACATCTGTAATCCCAGCTACTCAGGAGACGGAGGCAGGAGGATTGTTTGAACTCGAGAGGCAGAGGATGCAGTGAGCCGAGACTGCACCACTGCACTCCAGCCTGGGTGACAGAACAAGACCCTGTCTCAAAAAAAAAAAAAAAAAAAATCATTGAACTTGCAGGTTAATTTGGGAAGAACAGAGACTTTTACTCTTATTCATGTCTTGTGTTCTTCCACTAAAAATTTTCTTTGTATAATTCTGGCATTTTAAAAATGTTTTGTATGTTGTATACATTTATGTGTTAATATCTTTTTTTCTATTACATAATAACTGAAGTGAATTTAAATAAGATAAGACTCTCAAAATCTTTATTTAAAATAAACCTATAGTCAATTTCTTACTTTCATATGAGAGAATTAGAATGGCACTGAGTTAATATAAAATCTTACAAGCATTTATACAGTGTAGGGATCCAGGTATCACTTAAAATATTATGGCTGGGCCTAAAAATTATGAAATAAGACAATTAATTAGAATTACATGTTTCTTTGGAAATTGGTTTCATGAGAAGTGGCAATAATTTTCTATTTTGTGGGATTATCACAAGACCTCTTCTTCAGATAGCTCTCCTAAGGACAAGTTCATGTTAGCAGAGAATAGAACAAATCAGTAATGGTTATGAAAAGACATGCTTCCATATTTTGCAAGAGAGTAAGACTGGTCTTCTTTTGAAATTTCTAATTTAACGCTTTGCCAAATCAGATTCCTTATGTTAGTGTTATGGTGCAGAATGTTCTCTCTCCTTCCACAACTATGGGTTGAAGGGCCTTTCCTTTCATCTCCTTCAGTAATTTCTTTTGTTAGTTATGAAGACTTACATTTTTTAAATCTAGCCTGTGGAATTTCCTGAGTTAGAGTTACAAGATATGTAAGCCTGTGGAGCTCAATGTTACTGGGAAAAATAAAGAAGTGCCTGAAATGAATCTCACCTAAAAATGGTGAAATAGGATGCATATAGATTTTTTTTTTTTTTTTTTGTCACCCAGGCTGGAGTTCAGTGCTGCAATCTCAGCTTGCTGCAACTTCTGCCTCTCAGATTCGAGCAATTCTACTGTCTCAGCCTCCTGAGTAGCTGGGACCACAGGTGCCCACCATTATCCCCAGCTAATTTTTATATCTTTAGTAGAGATGGGGTTTTACCACATTGGTCAGTTTGGTCTCGAACTCTGACCTCAGGTGATCCAGTCACCTTGGCTTCCCAAAGTGCTGGGATTACAGGCAGGAGCCACCACGCCCTGCCTAGGATGCATATCGATTTTTCAACTACAGCTCTCCCATTCTCCATTCTGAATGAGCTCCAGATCTCATATCATTTTATTTTCAGACTTCCTTTTTTGTCTTCACCTAAATACAAAATGTGAAGTTAGTTCAGTATTTAGGTGAGGATGCTGATAGTGTCTTTCTTTTAACACTACATCTTGTATAATATTTTACTACTGTCTATAGGCTAATTATTATTCCCAACATCATTAAGATAGTTTCTGCATTTTATTCTCTTTTATCTCAAAATACTGATGGCTTTTCTTTATACCACTTCCATTTACCAGACTTCATCCTATGGGCCTCATCACACTTCCCTTTTAAGTGTTCTACTTATCTACTTCACACTCGCAGCCCTCCCA